AGAATAATAGTGAAGAAAAAGGATAAATCCGTGAATGATATCAAACAAATGGCTAATTATAGTGATGTGGTTCTGGAGCTCAAACAGAGGTTCTCCTCCATGACGGCACTCAACACCACTGTTTAGTTTCAACACATTTCTGTCAATTTGTTTCATTAATATAAGACATGTTTTCAATAAATATTAACAATAATTAAGTTTAAAATATCTATATTTTTAATTTGATTTTTTTACATTTATTATTACAACATCAAATAGCAAATAATATATAGTAAAATAGTTTCTAACAAAATTGTTATTATCGGTATATAATTTGGCAAAATATTTTATCATTATCGTTACTATTCAAATACTGGCCATTACTGTAAGTAAGAAATTAATAAACTTACCGATTTTGGTACTATAAATAATGATTGACATATTTGTAAGTTAATTAATTATGGATTATTAATCGCTTTACTGAATTGAGAGCGAAAGTTATATTATTAAGTTATTGGAGAAGTTATAATCAGATTAATGGCTAAAAATAGACTTTCATTTCTTGCTTGAAAATAGTTTTCCATTTTCTTTCTTAATGTTTAAGTATTAATATAAATAACTTTAATGTTTTCTATTCCTTATGATTAACTTTGGATATCACATAAAGTATGAAATGAATAATCAAATAAAAGACTATTTAATATAAATAGGAATCTCATCGAAGTGTTCGGTCGAGTCGGAGATATCGACAAATAAGCTGATGCTGTATGTGATCTCAATGAGTGGACAGTCGATTGTGGGCAGACAGTCAAAGGGTATGGGAATGAATACAATGTCCGATTGGGAACTGTTCTCTAGACAGGGATCGGCATAATTACTGGCAATCAGTTCCTGACTCTCCAGATATATGTATTCTTTCTTAAAGGCTGTCCGCCTAACCATTTGCGGCAAAAAGCGTATTGTTTTTGAGGACCGGTTACTCATATGAAAGTTGATGTTTAGTATTTCGCCTACAATTAATCAATTTTTAGTATTGTTTTTATATTAAAAATAAAAATACAACCAAAACTGACCGCAAAAGTAGGTGTTTCGGTCCATATGTGCGGACAACCGGACGGCACCTATTTTTATACCAAAAGAGCGGATCAACTTTTCCCGTACGGCAGCCACGGGTCTCTGTGTTTGAAAATTACAATATTATTCATTAGTATTGTATTATAGTATTGTATATATTATTACAATAGTATTCATACTCAGAGAATAATAATTATATTTCTGTTTTATGTAATATAATATACAAATACTCACGCATTCAATATGTGAGGGACAGACATTTGAATGAATTTTCACATTAAACTCTTGTCTTGTGGTGTAATTAATGTCATGAAACAGTTGGTTGTCGACGATTGTCTCCACATAG